GACATCATAATAAAATCATGTTGAAATCGCTACACAAAAGCTTTCATGTTTCAATACTTTGATTGTACTTCTTGAGTATTGGATTTCAAGATGTCTTTCTTATAATCTTTCATAATAAAATAAATAATAATATTTTGCTCTACTTTGTATTGAGCACTTTTTGATGGTAAATGCTACGAACAATGGAATTTTACTCCTTTTGTTCTTTCTCTCATATATATATATATATATATATATATATATATATATATATATATATATATATATATATATATATATATATATAAACTTTTTCACCCCAAGCATGGCGTGAATACCACTTGCACGTAAGAGGTTATATTAAGGAAAAAGACTTGGTATAGGGAGAGTTGATGAAAGGATAAAAAGAAGAACTTAGATCCAGCCAATAGAAGATGTCGATTGACATTACCTTTAAATTTTTGAAGATTATCGTTAACAGAGAAGCAAGTAAGAGGAAGGGAGTTCCACTGTCGGGAAGAGCGAGAGAAGAAGCTGTTGGAGTAGAAGAGGCAGTTAGATTTAACTGTTTCGACAGTAAAAGGCTGGGAACGAAACGCCATACTAGTATCTCGTTTAAAGTCATGGCACCAGTGCCAGGGCAGATGCCATGAAAATAATTACAGAAAAGACAGAGGGAAGCCACATTAGGTCGGTGAGAAAGTGAATGCAGTGGAAACCACATTATGTGCGTGTATTTGTGTTTAGCAAAGCTTTTAAACACAAAAGTTCGACGAGTTTTCACATTGTTATTTGGCTCTGGTTTTTGCATCGTAACATAAGCAACTACAGCAGATCAAAGAAAATTGGTTACACCTGACAAATATTTAATATATTTTCTACTTGTACGTTTTCTTTTATAGATACACTTATTTGATAATTGATTGTGTGTTGTTCTTTTTAAAATGTCTCTTTTGCTTTCACGTAGTCTTTTGTTTAAATTTCTTGAGGTTTCTCTAATTTATTTTTCCTGGCAATACCAGCAGTTGATAGAGTAAATTACGCCTTCAAGTTTTGGCTTGTTGTTTTCTTTTTTATTCATTAAGAGGCGGTTGTGACAAATTTTATGTTGAGTTCAGATACATCCACTAAGACGAAAATGTCTGGGGAGTGCCTTGATCGGTAGTTTAGGCACGGTAAATTTGCGCCCAGGCCCTTACAATATATTACCATTTTTGGCAGATATTCTGTTGACAAAATGTGGGATAGTTAGCGAAAAATGTGATGGAAAGAAAAAACAAAAAAGAATACAGATGAATTTGGCTAGATTAAAAAAAAATATTTCAAAATATGCTCTTTCAAAAATTTTGAAACTACCAGCGTCTCTCGTTTCATACGTATATGCTGACGTGACAACTTCAACAAAGCCCAGTCTGATGAAATTTTTTATTTTATTTTTCCCTCCCTCTCTCTCGCTCTCTCCTTTCCTCTTTCTTCCTTCACGAACTTTTAAAAAAATTTTTATTGAAGTTTTTATTTTTCTTTCTTCCTTTTTTATTAAATTTTTTTCCTTTTGCTTTTTGTTTCTTTTTCCTCTCCCCTTTCCTTTTGTTCATTCCCCCACCCACCCCCCAAAAATGAAGAGATTAATATTTAAATATACTAAAGAAATAAATTATAACCGAAGTAGATTTTTAATCATTGCCTTTACTTATTATTATTTTTATTTTCTTTGATTTCTGGCGTTTACACATTTCTTTCCGAGTCCCGCCCAAGGACATAAAGTTAGAAATGGCATCATGACACTTTCCACTGACAAAAAAAAAATATATTACATAGATAAAGCCCTTCGTAATGTGTGGGCTGTACTTGTCAGAACAATTTTTTGTATCTCCTTGAGGCATGGACTTCCAGGAATCCCTTCAATTAGTCTAATGCAATCTTTTCCAACTAGTCCTAGAGCTCCAACTACAACAGGGATTGTTGATGTTCCCATATGCCACATTTTCGAGATTTCTATTTCAAGGTCCTTGTATTTTGACAGCTTTTTGAATATCTTGAAAGATACATTGCAGTCAGCAGGGACTGCCATATCAATAAGGAGGCACCGTTTTTGTTTGTGGTCTTTAATAACAATATCTGGGCGGTTGGCTTTGATTGTTCTGTCAGTGTGTATTGTTTAATCCCATAGAATTGTATGGGTCCTATCTTCGTAACCATGTCTGGGTGGTGTTCATACCAGTTTCTTTCAACATCTTCCCGTAAAATTGCAGATTTTTCGGAAGGAAACTGAAAGAAACTGGTATGAATCTGTCATGTCCAGGTTTTTATATTCAATTTGGGGGATTACCAACATCTGACAGAACATTCAAAGCCAACCACCCAGATATTGTTATAAAGACCACAAAACACAAAACATCGTGCAACCTGATACATTATTATTATTATTATTATTGTTTTGTTACATTGTGCTCTCTTTTGATTATCCCTACCAATTACTAAATGGTATTTTATATATATATATATATATATATATATATATATATATATATATATATATATATATATATTATATATTTGTATATTTAGGCAGCAATCCTTCCTTTATGCATGTTTAATTTGTGTTTTTCTTCTAGTATGTTTCTAATGGAATCGAGCTAAATCTGTGCGTGTGTTTAAATGGGTTCTAATGGAGCTGTGATCAGATAGGTGTAACGTAAAACGTCTGGATAGACATGTGGTTGTGTAGCCGATGTAATTATTTATGAGTCCGGTTTGATCAGGAACACAGTTTCTTAAGGGGCATTTGAACTCATAGATAATGTTCGTTCTTTGTAATTTTGACTTAGTTGGTGTGTTGTTAATTTTGAGGATAAGGTTGGCTGTCTTACATTTTTTATAATAGATAATAAATTTGATTTTTTTATTCGGATCAATTGGATTAGTATATTTCTTTATAGTATGCCTTAGAGAAGATTCGTCTTGTTTGTAATTAATATGCATTTGGTTTTTGTAATAAATGTGTATGTGATTTTTGGCTGTGTGTTCGCTATCGTTATTACTTGCTTTGGTCGTTGGGGGATAGTCTAATTTGGTGGTCTATAAGGTAGTTAGGAACATACTAGTAGAAAACACAAATATATTAACTGCATCCACCTGCAAAAAAAGACTAAAAATAATGGGAGCTTTAATAATAAAAAAAAGAAAAAGCCAACTCTTAACAATATTAACTACGAACAAGGCCACAATGTGCTAACCGTATTCGGAAATTAAAAACATCCCTACCACACACTAAGACATACACAGAACGCACACACAATTAAACTGAAAAATCGAATCATCCTTGATAATGGCTAAAGGTATAGCCGAAAGCGCTCGGAAATATAAAACATTTGGACAGTTCTTACACACCTTTGTCCAGAAAAGAAAGCTCTTGTTTGAACACAAGAAAAATTAAATAAAAGCTTAACCGTAGTAACTTGTCTGTCGTTTTAATAAAACATGCATATATATATACATATATATATATATATATATATATATATATATATATATATATATATATATATATATATATATCCCCTGATGAGTGGACGGAGTGAGTTTGAGATTTAACTATTTGCCTATAGCTGGGATTTTAACATGTGCTACCACCATGTGTCAGGGTGGGCCTGGCAACACCGGTAATTAAGAGGTGGTTCCATGCTCCTAAAAACCTCCTGATCAAAGACCTTGCTGTCAGATGTAGTTTATCGTCTTACCCAGGATGATCTCTAATATGTACAGCACGCTAAGAAACATATACCATCCCGCACATATTTATAGACTGTACTAATTTTAAAGATATCCGGGAAATACTCTATAAATATGTAAAAAAAAAAAAAAAAAAATGAACGAGCTTTTCAGACAAACTAACCCGAATAACATCCTTAACATCACAAAACAGGTGAGCCTTTGTACAAAAATGTAATCTCCCCACGCAAACAAAACAGAATTATTTAGCAAAAACTGCAAATTTCTTTCTAATCATAGGTCTACTAAATAATGTATTCGGTACTAGGATGAACTACAGAGGTTTTGATGTGCAGTCAAACAAGAAAAAAATCAAAACAAAACAAAATTATGTGAAGTAAATAGAAAAAAAAAGGAATGCCAGTTTTGTGATGTCACCGAACAATCATTGCCATCTTTTGCAATGTCAGCGAATAGTCGTTGACACTTTCATAATGCTCGTTGTAGTAGAGACTTTGTAATCGCAGATACAACTATAGTAACGCCGTTGAACAATACATGAGTCAGACGCCTTCGAATAACACTCGCACTAATAGTCGATAATACTAGTTCGAATAGTAACCACCGAATAGTAATCTGTATAGTGAGATATTAACTTACTGCCTCACGCGGTTGGCACAAGGCCAAGTTTATTGTGAGGTATCCGAGCCCGTGGGCTCCTTCAAAAATTCCCTGTAGACCCCGTATAAAACGGGGTCGTGTTGCTGTCTACCGAGACGAAACTCTGCCCTTAGGCATAGCCTCGTCAGGGGATGCTCTCTGCCCGGAGGTTTGACCGGCACACTTACGAAGTAGTCCGTATAGTGGTCTCTTAGACGCCACGCTAATTCCCATGTATAGATTTCCTTTACCGTCACTTATTCAAAATGGGATCGCCTGTGTTTGCTCTCTAGTGATCTGTGTTCAAACTACGGTGCCGGCAGCGACACTTTATTCTTATATAACAGACAGAAAGAACATCTAAGAATAAAGATAAAAAAGAAAGAAAAGAGAAAGAATAAAACGAAAAGACAGCGAAAAACAAAGAGGGAAGAATGGCAAAGAAAAAGAGAAAGAAAGAAATGAAGAAAAAAAACAGGTATTAATATAATGAAGCTAAGAAAAAGGAAAGAGGAATTTAGGTAATAAATGAAAAACGAAAGAAAACAATTAATAAAACGAAGGAAAAATACAAAAAAAAAAAAGAATCTAAAGAATGAAAAAGGCAAAAGTAAAAGAAAAATTAGAAAATGAAAATTATGTAAAGAAAGTCAATAAGTCAAAAAGAAAGTCAAAAAAAAAAAAGAAAATCGAAGGGAATAAAATAAAAAAAAATAGTGAAAGAATGAAATATGAATGAAAGAATAAGAAAAGAGTAGTGAGAGAATGAAATATGAATGAAAGAATGAAAGAATAAAAAAAGAATAGTGAAAGAATGAAATATGAATGAAAGAATGAAAGAATAAAAAAAGAATAGTGAAAGAATGAAATATGAATGAAAGAATGAAAGAATAAAAAAAATAATAGAGAGAATGAAATATGAATGAAAGAATGAAAGAATAAAAAAAGAATAGTGAAAGAATGAAATATGAATGAAAGAATGAAAGAATAAAAAAAGAATAGTGAAAGAATGAAATATGAATGAAAGAATGAAAGAATAAAAAAAGAATAGTGAGAGAATGAAATATGAATGAAAGAATGAAAGAATAAAAAAGAATAGTGAAAGAATGAAATATGAATGAAAGAATGAAAGAATAAAAAAAGAATAGTGAGAGAATGAAATATGAATGAAAGAATGAAAGAATAAAAAAATAGTGAGAGAATGAAATATGAATGAAAGAATGAAGAATAAAAAGAATAGTGAAAGAATGAAATATGAATGAAAGAATGAAAGAATAAAAAAAAATAGTGAAAAAATGAAAATATGAATGAAAAAGAATGAAAGAATAAAAAAAAAGAATAGAAAGAATGAAATATGAATGAAAGAATGAAAGAATAAAAAAAAGAATAGTGAGAGAATGAAATATGAATGAAAGAATGAAAGAATAAAAAAGAATAGTGAGAGAATGAAATATGAATGAAAGAATGAAGAATAAAAAAGAATAGTGAAAGAATGAAATATGAATGAAAGAATGAAAGAATAAAAAAAGAGTAGTGAGAGAATGAAATATGAATGAAAGAATGAAAGAATAAAAAAAGAATAGTGAGAGAATGAAATATGAATGAAAGAATGAAAGAATAAAAAAGAATAGTGAGAGAATGAAATATGAATGAAAGAATGAAAGAATAAAAAAGAATAGTGAGAGAATGAAATATGAATGAAAGAATGAAGAATAAAAAAGAATAGTGAAAGAATGAAATATGAATGAAAGAATGAAAGAATAAAAAAAGAATAGTGAGAGAATGAAATATGAATGAAAGAATGAAAGAATAAAAAAAGAATAGTGAGAGAATGAAATATGAATGAAAGAATGAAAGAATAAAAAAAGAATAGTGAGAGAATGAAATATGAATGAAAGAATGAAAGAATAAAAAAAGAGTAGTGAGAGAATGAAATATGAATGAAAGAATGAAAGAATAAAAAAAGAGTAGTGAGAGAATGAAATATGAATGAAAGAATGAAAGAATAAAAAAAGAGTAGTGAGAGAATGAAATATGAATGAAAGAATGAAATAATGAAAGAATAAAAAAGAATATGTGAAAGAATGAAATATGAATGAAAGAATAAAAAAAGAGTAGTGAGAGAATGAAATATGAATGAAAGAATGAAAGAATAAAAAAAGAATAGTGAAAGAATGAAAAAAAATAATAAAGAGAAGAACAAGGGAAAAAGATTTTAAAAATGCAACCGAAAAAGAATGAAGAAATAAAAATGAAACAAACAAAAAGAATTTAAACAATAAAATAATTAAAACCTGATAATAAGCAGAAATATTAAATAAAGAAAAAGAATGAATGAGAAAGAAGAAACAAATAAGAAAGAGAAATGAATGAAGAAGAAAAAAAACAAAACGGAAGAAAAGAATGAAAAACATAAAAGAAAGAGAAAAGGAAAAGAGAAGAGAACAAATTTATGAAAAGAAAAAAACAAAAACGAAAGTTAAAGGTAGTAAAGAAAGAAAAGCAAAGCGTATTGAATGAAAAACGAAGAAATTGGGAAGATTAAGAAGGGAAGATTAAAAGAAAAAAATATAATGAAAAAGGAATGAAAAAGATGATAAGAATGAGAAAATAGGAAAAATAAAATGAAAGTGCGACAGAAAAGAAAGAAAACTAAAAACGATAAAAAGAAAAGAATAGGAAGAAAAAAAAAGAATCAAATACATCAAATATCATGAGGGAAGAATGAAAGATTTAAACTAAAAAATATTAAACAAATATGAATGAAAAAGCAAAGAAGAAAGAAAATGAATGAAAGACAGAAAACAGAAGAAAATGAAAAAAAAACAGAAAAAAAAAGAACGAAGGAAAGAGAGAAAAGAAAAAAACAAAAGAATGTATAAAACAAAAGAAAGAAAAACAATAAAAAGAAAGAACAGTGAAGAAATAAAAGATAGAATGTTATACAAGAATGATGCACAATGATGAAGGAAAAAGAATAAATAATTAGATAAAGAAAGAATAAAGAACGAAAAATAATAATGAAAGAACTTATAAATAAAATGAGTAAAAAGAACAATAATTGAAAAAAATAAGAATAAGAAAAAACAATGGAAAAAAAAGAACGTGGAAGATAAAAAAAGGAAAAAGAACAAACCTAAAATTGTTCAGACAGAAATCCGCCATTTTAGATTGCGTCCAAACAAAAACATGTAAGTAACAATTTAATATGAATTAAAAACAAATAAACATCGTAAACAGAATAAAAAAATGTAATAAATCCTGACAAAAAAAATCTTTTGAAAAGTTTAATTCGATAATTATTAGTGCAACTATATTAAATCTTTTTCATTGTTTGGCTAATTTCAAATATTGACAAAACTATAATTTTTATCCTGAAAAAAGAAACACAAACGCTTTCAATTGTATTGAAAAGATTTTTTCGTTGCGATAATTGCTTTCTAGAAAAATAATTTAAATCCTTTTTTTTTTTTTCGTTTTCTGTAACGTTTTTGCAAGACTCGAAAGTGTAATAGGTTTTTCAAGACGTCCCTTTAAGAAATGAAATTGTATCAGTTGAATTCTTTTGCAGACATTTGAAGAACACAGAAGAAGAAAAATATCAGAAGGGTTCGAACACAGAATGTTCTTATAGATCTAAATTTCGTAGATAAGGAGTTACTATTATTATTATTATTATTATTATTATTATTATTATTATTATTATTATTATTTTCTAATAATAATTATAATAATAGCGTGACAGTGGAATTAGAATATCTGCAATGCTTATGAAAGAAATTGATAGGAACACTACCCAGAGCCGGTTACAAACAAAGAACCTGTAACAATTTTATGGGATTTTTAAAATACACACAGAACAATAAAAGCTAATCGCCCTGACATCGTCATTAGAGACCGGAAACAGAAAAATTGCCTCCTTATTGACATGGCAGTCCCTGAAGACTGCAATGTATCTTTGAAGGTCTTCAAAAAGCTAACAAAATACATGTATCATGAAATGGAAATCTCATATAGCACATGAGGACATCAATGATTCCAGTTCTAGTTGGAGCCCTCAGATTGATTGGAAAAGGTTCCAATAGACTCATTGAAAGGATCACTTGTAGCAGAAGCCTTAGAGAAATACAAAGAATTGTAGTCACAATTACAGCTTACACCTTACGAAGAGCTTTGTCTATCTAAAATGTGTGTGATCTTATTTTCGAAAGAATGGATACACACCAGAAATCAAAGAAATAATAATAATAATAATAATAATAATAATGCCATTTCCTTTGATTTCTGTTGTATACTCATTTCCTTCCAGGTCCCAACCAGAGATCTAAGCTCAGAAATGGCATCATGATATTTTTCATTGAACATTTATAGAAAAAGAATAAAAGCTAGAAGAAAAGCGATTTTATATAGATAAATCCCTTCGTAAGGTGGGGGGGGGCTGTACTGGTGATAATATTTTCCGTATTTGTTTCAAGCATCGGCTACCAGATATTCCTAAGAGTATATCAGAGACATTTCCAATCAAATCGAGGACACCAAACACAGCTAGAATTATTAATGTCTTTATACCTCACATTTTTTAGATTTCCAATTGAAGATCCTTGTGTTTTTATAGTTTCTTCTATTTATCTATCTATCCAATTATATATATATATATATATATATATATATATATATATATATATATATATATATATATATATATATAAAAATATAGTCTTAAGATGTGCTACATTTATGGGATAAAGTGCTCAATATTAGATATAGAGCGTGTGTAAATATAAAAGTGAACATAGAAATCAACACTTAGAGGCGACAGTCTGTTTCATGCTAGATGCAATCGTCACGCCTGGCGATTGCATTTAGCATGAAATAGACTGTCGCTTCTAAGTGTTGATTTCTATGTTCACTCATATATATATATATATATATATATATATATATATATATATATACCAAAAAAAGTATTCAACTATCCACAAAAATGTTGTTAAGAAAAAAAGTTTTGAGCCGGAAGAAAGTTGCAAAATTTAGGTTTTAATTTAAACAAAATACGAATAACAGATTCCCCTGCTGGGTAATGTACATTGGCAACATAAGTAAAACAGCTAGTATCTCGCAAGCAGTAATTCAACATAATATAGTCTAATGTGAGTTCAAGTGGTGATATAATGTAACTTTTGGAAAACATTTTATTCATGCTCAGTAAAAAGGAAGAAAAACGCCTTCAAATCAATTTTTCAAAAGATATCTCGTTATACTAAAGTTAAGGTTACTGATGAAGACTTGTATTTAGTACAATAAATAAAACCATTTTGCTGCGTAACTAGGATGAGAAATAAAATTTTTTTCAGGGTAGCTAAATACTTTTGACTGATAGTATATATATATATATATATATATATATATATATATATATATATAAAGAAAGAACAGTAAGCTACATAATCCGGTGATATTTTTTTTATTTTTACAAAACAGTGTTCAATGTAAAGTTACAGAGCATAAATATTATAAATTAACTGATTTAAAATATGGTTTCTTCGCTACACAGTAATAACCATGTTTCAAAAACTGAAGCTAATTATATTAAAAGCATTAGTTCTGTCTCATCTTCAAGCAAATGAGACGGAACTAATGTTTTTAATTTATATAATTAAATTTGAAGTTTTTAGCTTCAGTTTTTGGAACATAGTTATTACTGTGTAACGAAGAAACCGTATTTTAAATCAGTTAATTTATAATATATATATATATATATATATATATATATATATATATATATATATATATATATATATATATATGAGCACGTATGTGTGTGTGTGTAATTTTTTTTCTCAGCAGTATCCTGACAGTGTCTGAACTTCTTTTTCTAAAATAATAGTGAGGTGCTGTTCCAGAATGTGATTTCCAGCACTAAACTCACCTCATCTTTTGTCTCGTCTTGCTTCAGTTTGCGAACAAAGCTGGGGTGGAACTGATACTACGCTTTGATCATTGGCATCATGTCCTGCAAGAGACAATTTTATCTTAGCCAGAAATGTCGATCGATATGCAGATGATTAACAACAAGCCCTAACAAACATCCACGCTGTTTACACAGGGAAGGTTTCCGGGACCCGATATAAATTGCCTCCTGCACCTTGAGATGAAATAGAGCGTGTGACCGGGACAAAACAGTGAACCAATCAGCACTAAAATTAGCAACACACCCTCTGTTATTTAAGAGCTGCTCGCATATGGCGGAACCATAGGTATTTGTGACTCGTCCATTCAAAGACAAGGTGTGATTCCTGATCTTAGTGGGAATATGTTGTTTAATTCTCATGTCTAGGCGTTGAGTCGTTTTTTCCCTATGTAGGAACTACAATTTTATTTGTAAACAATAGAAATTAATTTGATGGGGTGGGAGAACATCCTTACACCCAAAAACGAAACATAGGCCGGGTTTGAAATATATATATATATATATATATATATATATATATATATATATAATTTTTAAAAAATATATGATTCAACTCGCGACATAAGAGGTCTCATGTTTCAAAACAAGAGCCGAAAATTCAATATAATCATTTGAATTAAATAATTATATTGAATTTTATGTCGCGAGTTGGAATATATTTTAAATAAATAATTATATTTATGCTCTACTTTTGTATCGAGCACTATTTTTTAAAAATAAAAACTAAAATACTAAGGAACTTTGGATTATCTACCTAACCAGTTCCTTCCTATTTTCTATATATTTTCACATATATATATATATATATATTAATAATAAATATATATATATTAATAATAAATATGCATTTTTCCAAACAGTTTTTGTGCAAACGCCCATGAGTGCAATCCTACTAGAAATACCTGCAGGATACGTATGTGAGTTTGTAAATCTGTTTGTGGAACTCAGACGTCTCATGATTTTACACAGGGACAGGCAAGTTTACAACACGGGTAACACAGACCTACTTTATGTTTGCCACGTGGTTAAGAGACGTTGTAAAAGTGAAGCTGGCCTTTAGAACCCCTTAAGGGCTTGTAGCAGAGCGTTAGCTCAGGTATAAAGGAAGGCAATAATAATATTATGAATGAAAAAACTAAAAAAAAAGCTACCAAGTGAAGAGATGATCGTCCTCTGCAAAGAATGACAATCATATACATACTAGCTTAAAGGCCGCCCTATCAAGCGGCATTTAACCTAGCTCTTGCAGAGGGTTCTTGATTGAGCCTTAATCACAATAGATAGGGGAGGAGGAGTTGCGATAGGCAACAATAAACTATAAACTAGAAGAACTCAGGATTGATCGCTGTATTTAAATATTGCATGAATATTTATGTTTACCTTTAAAAAATTCAACGACAATTCCTTTGTCGTCACTTAATTTAAAGACAATTTGTTGTACGTAGGTCCTTACTTTCTGTACAAAAAAAATATTTTTATTTCATGGGTGACTTTCGCTGGATTTCACAATTAATTTCGATTATTCCTAAATGTATTTCCAAGTTATAAAAATTGCTATCGTACAAAACATTTTTCGAAAAAAGCACCGAAAAAAAAATAACAATAATAAATCTTGGGAATCCCAAATTTCAGGATTGTGGGTCCGGCTTCAGCCCGCAATGTCTTTAATTTGCTCACGGAGTCTGCCTGATTCCAAAATGATATGATATATTGGGCTGTGGCCTCTGGGAGCAAATTCGAAAAAGAGTGACACAGTGACACACTGACATTCGGATTTATTATATACCAGGTGTAACAACAAAATTGTCCAGATCCTGTAACAGCATAATTGTCCATCCCACAAATTGTTTAATAAACCACTAAAGTAATTGTTTCTTTTTTTTTCCCCCAGGTTTTCAGATAAGAGGTTAAGTCCTCTTGGCATCATTGTTTGTAAAAATCGTATAAAGACCATTTGAGACATTCAGCTAGAAAGAGAACCGGTTAAAATCGTTTTGTGTCAGCCCCACTATGCTTTCTCAACTGAATAATAGTGAGAGAAAAAAGCGTAGAAAATTGTCTGTAAGTATGGACATAGAAATCAACACTGCATGGTGACTGGCAGTTTCACGCCCCAAGTATCATGGTCTCAAGTTTCACGCTTCAAGTTTCATGGTCTTAAGTTT